CAGGTGCTACTTACTTGCTTGCCAAGGGAGCTGTATTTGAGACAACCAGTTAAATGGCTTGAACAGAAACTAAAATTTACCTTTATAATTAAATCAACATAACCTTTTATTTCATCACTGGAAACTGGTGTGTAGGCCCGGATCACCAAACTACCATTGATTTTGGCAGAAAGAGAAACATGTTGGCCTAGAAAGAAAGAAAGTTACAGTATTGTCATCTCGTTTTCAGCTTTAAGGGTTTGTACTTTCCAGGCTTTGGAGAAAAAGAAAACAAAAAGGAGGGAAAGGTTGGGAAAATAAAATGTGTGATCTTAGCCCAATATAACGTATTGTGATGCAAAACACAACGTTAAAAATAGCCTAACAGTATTGCTAATGTATCCCATAATCGAGTCATCTAACACAGAAACAATCTTCATTACATTTCTGCAATTTTTAATACAGTACATGTTGCTGCAAAAAATGTCTGTTCTTTAGATAGATAATCCTGTATTATGACATAAAAATGGAATGCTATCCACATACAGAATATATATGTTAACTACAATGCTATGAATTTGTCTGCAATTATGAAATAAATTGTGAAACTATAAAATTAATCTTACTACTTTTGCATATTAGACATTACCTGAACTCTGTCCACTAAACCACATGTTAGAACTGCTTTGAGTACTACAATCCTGTGTGTACTTTGTGGAGTATGGCTTTTCCCACATCATGCTAATAAATATAATACCAACACACAATACCATGGACAAATAAATAATTACATTCACATACACATAATTCCAGATCTCTACTGAAGAAAAAATAAAGATAGATAATAGCTACAATTTTTACAAGACAATATTTGTTAGATGTACACCTTGCTGGGGTCATTTGACCCCAGTACTCTTTCCTGCCATGGCAGGGGGTCGGATTAGATGATCTACTCAGGTCCCTTCCAACCCTAGAAACTATGAAACTATTTTTGTTTTTCTGCAGATAGGCAGCCAGTATGCAGAGGGACTAAAATTTTACCAGCCAACTATTCCTAGAGCAACATCACCACAATTCCTGTTTCTCAGATATACCACAATTTCTGTGCTACAGTGGCTGGTACAGAGCTAGCTCCTGCAGTCTCTGTTCTGCTCACGTGCATCCTGCTTTTGAAGGACATACTGAGTTATATATGAAGTGAGACACTTTCCAAACATGTTTTTTACAAACATATTGGGTATCTATCAGCAAAATAGAAGTATATGTGATTTAGCTTATTGCTGCTCTAGCCTGATGTCTGGTGGGTTTCCAGCATCTCTTCCTTCTCCTATATGTCAGTGATGACCAATGATTCTTGTAGCCTAGTGTTAAGTATATACATCTGAGAAACAAACTATTATGTCACAGACTAATATTAAAGCATCTCAAGGGGATACTGGGACTGGACATTTGCGAAGCAGGAAGTTGCAAGTTAAAGATTAACAAAAGAACTGGCTGATTATTCACATCATCTTTGCCTATGCAGGTTTTTACTGAAGCTTTCACGTGCCTTAAAAGAGAAAACAGGTATTTTACTAGTCTCACAAACCAAGGCAGAAAACCCCAGTTTTAGGAACCCATAGTGGTCATGTGAGTATTCTGCAGCTGGACTGCAGAATCAGGGCTTCTGGGCACAAAAAAGCAGCACTGCTAGAGAAACCCATGTTCAAATGACACTTCCAAAAAGTAAAGTCCCTAGATTAGATCCCACACAAAGCAGCAACCATGTGACCTATGAAAGAAGTCAATTTAAATACTAGGTGAAAGTGTTTCAGGAGTAAGAAATGGTGAGGTAGAAAAGATCAAATAAGAGTAGACCTGGGGTACAGAGAGGCAGTGGGGGCTGCTTCATGTAGTCATTCACCTTTGTTTTCCTTCATGGACAAACAAATATTTTTTCATACTATCCACTGGAAGACAAGAGGATCTGTAGAAAAGTGGAGGCCAGCTGTTGCCATTGATTTCATTGTTTCACAGCATCTGACAAAGTAGACTGTCACCTACAAAAGCTACTGCCTCTCTGAACAAGTTAGTCTCTAAGGAGCCAGCCTTCCCTGCCTTCTGCCATTGATTGGCAATTTTCCTAAAAACAACAAGCTCAGCCTGGGAAAAAAAGGATACAGGTAACTTGCAGAACAGGAGAGCTCATGCCACGTGCAGCTTGAAACAGCCAGGACTATGCAATTTGGAGAAGAGCCAGATTGGAAAGAGTGCTGTTCAGGACAAGAGGGTTGTTGGCCCCTGAGCAGGTTATCCTCAATTCAAGGTTCACAGTTCAGTGGTATCAGCAAAATACCTTTGGCAGACCCTAATTTCCTGAAAGCTTTATGATAAGAGAAAAAAAAAGTTGGCAGATATCTGCTGAATGCCTGAAGAACAACAATAACACATCTCTGAAGTGTACTATTCTTCCTGTCTCCCCAAATCCATTGTTCACAGGCTATGAGAGTGAAAGCCTGCAACCTCTTTCTCATCTAACCACGTCTACACTAGAGTCAAAGGTGTGACACTAGCTGGTGCAGGGAAACCTGATCTAGCAGTCAAGAAGTCAGCTTGGGTGCTTTGAGCAGCAGAATCATGGCAACACAGCTGCCTATGTATTTACAGATTTTGCTGCCTGCACTCAAGCAGCTACACGTGATCAGAACCCATGGTAGCAAGTTGATAGCTAACTTAGACACATCTACATTAGCTGCAATCAGATCTTTGACTACAGTACGGGATCCTCTAGAACAGCGTTTCTCAACACGTGGGTCACGAGCCCAGAATCGGCTGCAATATATGAAAGGGTTGTGAGCAAACCTTAAAAATGAATTCTCCTTTAAAGAGAAAAATGTGGGAAACTGGCTTTCCCCTTGCAGACAGTCAGAGTTCCAGCCTGCAAGGGGTTGGTTGTTGCCCCCCCATACCCTACACCCCCACCCCCCCGACACACCCACCCTCTGCCCCACACTGGAGGGCTGGGGTATGGGGGCAGGGAGCAGCAGGTCAGAAGTGTGGAGCATTGGGTCAGGACAGGCCATCTATGTTTACAAATGGATCTTGGTACAAAAAAGGTTGAGAACCACTGCTGTAAAATTCAAAAGCAACTACCATATTTTTTTTTAATATAAGACAACCCTGAATATAAGATGAAGCCCCCAATACTTAGATTCTATATATGGAAATGTATACATTTATGATTATTTTCCAGACGCAGAATCTAATGATCAGAAAGTTGGTTTGAATATATTCCCCTCTCACTGCTGCAGCAGGGAAAATAGTTGCTGAGGGAGGAGTCAGTTGGCCTCAATGCCCTCTGGCTCCCCACCCCACTTCTCCCCCGTAGCCCTCCTGCCCCCACTTACTGTCAGACCCTGCTCAGGCTCTTTCCCTGAGGACATGACAGTAAGGGGGGTAAAGGGACAGAGGGGAGGGCAGAAGCTGCAGAGGGGGACAAGTGACTGCTGTGGGTCCAACTCTGGCCCCAACTCGGAACTACAGCAGTTGCCTGCTCCCGCTTCCCAATTTGAAATACAAGCAACCAAAAACACTGTCTTCAAAATAAACGTACATACAGTAATTTCCATTGGTCCTCTACATTTGATAACTTGCATATATGCAATTTATTATGGGCACTTACAGAGTTAACTCATCCAGAATTGATACATTTTAACATGTTGCAAACTGCTGCAAGTTTTAGCCCAGCTGCTCCATAAACACCCTGTTGAGCAACACTTTCATAATACAAACTATACATTATATTAATCCAGAGCCAAAAGGCGCGATTCAGTGCGGCTGGGAAGAGCGGTGCTACGCAGAGAAGGTGGTTGCCCACCACTGCCTTGGTGACGCGCCCCCTGAGTATGCTGCTGCTTGCAATGTGGCACTCACAGCCTCTCCGCGTGGTCTCGCTCTTCCCAACTGCGCCTGCTGGGCTGCAGAGGCACCCAAGGCAGGGAAGCAGAGCAGAGCGAGGAGCGGCAAGCAGCCACCATTCCCTGCCACTCTGCTTCCCTCTCCCAGGTGCCTCTGCAGCCTGGCAGGCATGATCTGGCATGGCTGGGCTGGTTCTTTGAGCAGCACAGCCCTGCTTTGCAGCCCTGAAGCCCTGGGCCCCAGGAGGAGCTTCACTGGGGCAGTGTGGGACGAGTGGCGGCAAGAAAATCCCCATACGGCTCTTCCATTCCCTGCAGCACCAGGTTGCAGCGGAGGGAAGCTGGACAGCAGCTGTTCCCTACAGGGAGTTCCCTGCAGTGTTGTTCTCAAGGGTGCTGCAGGGAGCGGACGAGCGGCATGGGGACCTTCTTGCTGCTGCTTACCCTGCGCTGCCCGGGTGAAGTGCCTCCTGCGTGCAGGGCTACAGCGAGGGCAGCAGTGCAGGGCAGCAGCAACCACAGGGCAACCAGCAGTGCAGGGCAGCAGCAACCACAGCAGCATCACCAGGGCAGGGGTGGGGGGGAGCTCAAGGTAGCACGAGTGAAATACATATAAGGGTACAACAGATCAGAGCTGGTGAGAAGGCCTGTCGTCATAATATGGCAGGACGAAATGTTCAATCCCTTGTTTTCCTGAACAGCAAATTAACTCTTTGCTCCTTTTTTAAGAGCTCTGTTAAAATCCAAAACTTACAAATAAAAATAAAGTGTTTTAGTATTTACCTATTGGTAACCCCAATACGTGATCTGGCT